TGCTCAGTTAGCGAAATTCCAGCTATATCCGTAGTTACGCAAGTCACCACTAGATGCCAGGATATCTAATACGAATTGCCTGGGTACGCTCTTTTTTTTAAATGAGTTCAACTCAAAGTTTGAACTAAAGATTAACATTTGAAACTGTGATAATGACATTATTAAATTTATATTTGTATATATATATTTTCAAATCGAGTTACTCATTGTGGATTGTTAATTTCTATGTTTTTTGTAGTTAAATAAACTCGGAGTTTAAAAAAGTTGAAACCTGACAAACGCTTATTTTTTTATCTCCCATATAATGTATAGCATTAGTTCTGAAGTTAGTACGTGTATTACATTACATTCACAACTCTATGTATGAAACTTCGAAATTAACAGCGTGCTATTGAGTATTAATGTTACTGCTTTGGCGCAAAGCACACAATGAGCTATCTGCGCTCTGTTCATCGCGGAAAATCGAGCCCCCAGATTTTAGCATTGTAAATCCGCAAACTTACCGCTGACCAACCAGAGAACAATATTGAATATATTTAAATCGACAGGAAGATGTTTCAATACCGTTTTAAGTCAAAACATTATATATATCCGAAGTAGACTGAAATTAGAGTAAACTATTCATGCATCTATCGGCTGAAACGTTGTTTTTTCTCTATAATTGTTTCTCTTTTCATACATTTGAGATAAAGATAGTGTATCTAAATATCATTAATAAAAATTAACGAGTTCTTGTGCAAGGAAACTTTAGCTTTAAAATGTGTTTTATTTTTTAATGAGTTAACACTCGAAGCTCTAAAGAAAAACAACAACAAAAATTGCTGAAATGCTAATGTTAATGAGCACGACAAACATGTAAGGCCTACTGATAATAAAAAACACGTGTAGCAAAGAACTTGAGAACCTGACATAAGATGGAATACAATCATATAAAACTGTTTGGAGGTAAAGAAAATCACCAAAGTAGCAGGAAGGAGAACTGAATCAAGAGGATAAGTATGTGATATGCTTTGTTGCGATCGATTGGATATAGCTATAATAATAATGATAAACATGTCCACAGCCTAGTCGAAATACAATATATCACAATAAAAAAAAAAATTCACAAATAAACCTGAACATTCTTTCCGATTTTTTGTCTATATAAAACAGTCTAATACCGGGCACCATATTTACTGTGTTCAGCGTTCAGAGCATGAATTCTAAAGTCCTTTTCCTATTCACTGTGGCTTCACACCCACTTTCTTTTCGAATAGATTAAGATTCCAACTCTGATAATGTCATATTTAATATCAAAACTCACAATACGTAACCCGAGTTTAAATTGTATATGCAACTCGGTACTGGTGTCCTTTGTATAACTCTGCTTAATTTTAAGTCCTCATATCCCTAAGGGGATCAACCCTGTTAATGAAGCTTAAGAGGTATCTGTATAATGAAATATATTTCTCTCAAATGTAAAACTGATGCCTATGTAATATAGATACAAAATAGAAAGGGATTACACATACCAAGGACATTGGTTTTGTTAGGTACATCAATGTTGAGTAAACATAAGGCACACATTGATTCAAAATACGTCTTCTGATTAGATAAACTTGTAACCAGATTACACGTCAGGAATATCGTATTTTGGCAAGCACCATAGGTATTGAAATATATAGTGTAAACTTTATACACTAGATAGCAGCACTTTACAGAAAGCGTATATGAATCGCAATTTTTGTTCGGACATAATTTCTTTGTTTGCTTATTTTTGAATATCGCGCAAAGCTACACGAGGACTATCTGCGCTAGCCGTCCCTAATTTAGAAGGAAGGCAGCTAGTCATCACCACCCACCGCCAACTCTTGGGCTACTCTTTTACTAAAGTATGATTGACCGTCACAGTATAACACCCCTACGGCTGAAAGGGCGAGCATGTTTGGTGGGACGGGGATTCAAACCCGCGACCTTCAGATTGCGAGTCAAACGCCCCTAACCACCTGATCATGCTGGGCCTCGGACATATTTACAATAATATTTTTAAAAAAATGTCTTTAAATTTGGATAACTGGTTAAAGTCCAACACAGTTGAAAAAACTTCGTGATTTTTAACGGTTTAAATCACTTCAGCAATACTTATATCTAATTCTTGTAACAACGAATTAATTGGTGCATTCAATATCTTTTTGAAACGACACAATAAAATCTTTAATTGTTTGTTTCTGAATTTCGCGCAAAGCTACACGAGGGCTATCTGCGCTAGCCGTCCCTAATTTAGCAGTGTAAGACTAGAGGGAAGGCAGCTAGTCATCACCACCCACCGCCAACTCTTGGGCTACTCTTTTACCAACGAATAGTGGGATTGACCGTCACATTATAACGCCCCCATGGCTGAAAGGGCGAGCATGTTTGGTGTGACAGGGATTCGAACCCGCGACCCTCAGATTGCGAGTCGAGTGCCTTAACCACCTGGCCATGAAAATCTTTAATTCACATTTATAAGTAGTCTCAATTAATTTCTATTTCTATTCACAGGAAGGTTAAGGTTATTGTGTAACCTTTCGCGTCCGCTCAGGTGATGGCTCACTATTATTTGCCGAAAGAAATTAACAACAACTATTTCATCCGTTAAGTTTATTTGTTTTAGCGCAAAGCTACATAATGAGCTATTGCGCTCTGTCCACCACGGGGAATGGAACCCTGGATTTTGGCGTTGTAAGTCCTTAAAGTTACTGCTAACCCACTGGGGGATCTGCTAAGCTGTAATAATTTGCATAAGATATGTGAAGATTGAATGACATTATACAAATCTAAATAGTCACATTTATAATATTTGGAAAAACTTTCAATATAACCGTAAATTTACGCATCAGTTTAGTTTGTGGTCGATCAAAGAAACGTATAGACTTAGGAGGTTTTATTTCATAAACTAGAGGGGTGGGCACTCAATAGAACGCATACCTCCGTCACGCAGTGTTGATCATATTCAGCTCTCAAAAAAAAAAAAAAAATCATTATCAACAGACACAGACCATTTTTGGCAGAACAATGAGGAATAATATTCTACATATGTCCATCAAACTCCGGTCATTTTTCACTGAGTTATAGAGCAAAAATAGTGTGAAAAATCAGTCGTCATGTTAACAGATAGGGATTTTTTTTTATTTTCGTGACAATGCTGTGACCTTCACAATCCAAAACCTAATATCTCCTAATTTGGGTCATATTCCAAATGTATACCAACTTTCATCCAAATCCATTAAGCTGTTTTCGAGAAATCTTGCTGACAAACAGACAAATAAACAAACATACACTGAAGTGAAAACGTAACCTTCGTCCAGATTTGGTGGCGGAAGTAATGTGTATGATATTTGATGTTTTAATCATTTTCTGTCAAGTTTTAGACGGGATATTAAAGAAGTAATAGACAACACTTCTTAGTTTGATATACTGCAGCCACAGATTAGTTGAAATTAACATTCTGGTAAAATTCAAAGTCTTGTTTTGTTCTTCATTCTTCTCTATGTGGTAAGATGTTTTCCATTTATTTTGTAGTCCTTCATTTCCTTCGTTTCTTCTTTTAAGTCGCCTTTCTGTTTTGTTTTTTTTGTATAAAAAGTTTGAACTTCCGAATATAAAATCGTTTAGCTATTCAATCATCATACCTTTATAGGTTTTAATTTTTATATTTGTGTTGCTCTACTTTTAAACTGTGTTTGCAACATGTTTTTAGTAGCTACCTCCCCCTTTACTCTCTCCTTGTTTTTTTATCTCGTGGCAAGCTCTATGTCACTTTGTATTCAACGGATTTTACTAGGGGTGCGTATCTCACTATAGCAGTCGATATGATACGTATCTAGATACAGAAGTTTTACCAACGGTTTGTTACAAAGTTGGACAATCTTGTCTGTAATTTATTACCTGTATTACCAACATTGCCTTATTTAAGTACTTCACACTTTACAGTACTTTTACAAATTCTCAAGTTTGATCAACTAAATGGCAGCTGGTAAGAGAAGTAAAATGAAAAAGTTAATATCTGTCTATCTATTTTGTTATTGTTAATTTGTTATGTTACTTTGCATGTAATGTTTTTGATAAAAGAAATGAAGACAACATGGATCATTATTGGATCATTAATTTTTAGCAAAAATATTTTATCAGAAATTCTGATTTTTTTCTGTACAAAAGACTTATAACGTTTATTGAAAGCTTGCCAAATTTCGTGAAGATATATAAATCGTATCGGACGATGTATCGATACAATCGTATCACGGCTTCACGGTACGATACGAGTATCGTATCGCTTTATCGCCACACCTTTAATTTTTAGTGTTAAACAACAACAAATTCTGACATTTCATGTGGCGACATCTACTGGCTAGTTTTATGATAATATTATCATCACAACATGATGAAGTTCTATTCCGTTAACAAAGTTTCCAAATGTCATTGGTCATTATATACCAAGTAGTTGACTCTCCGACACAATGTACATATCAAGCGTTATAAGTAAAAACAAAAAAAAAAGAAACTTTTATGTTCAAACATACTTACAATTGACGTTTAGTTTCTTTTCTTAATTCTAGCTCTAAACTGCAACACGCATACCTTCATTCTAAATATAGCTTTACATGGTAATATTATCCATCACTCATCTAGCAAGACTGATAATAGTTTATATTGCAGCATTAGTTGGTCATCGTATGGATTTTTTATTAAAAATGGTGGCTCCAGTGACTCAGCGGTAAGTCGACGGCTTATAACGCTAAAAACCTGGTGTTGATACCCGTGCTTTGTGCTACAGAGTAAAAAATCCAAAATAATGTCACAGAACAATATCTTAACGTTTACATATTATTTTTACTAACGATTCCAAAAGAATTAGTATTGGAAATACTGCTCTGGATCAATGTGTATTTATTTCCAGTTTCTAAGTCATTGTAACCTTGGATTTTATTCCAGTGAAATTGTTTAGTTTCCATTAAGCTGCTTCTCTTTACAGAGAAACTTTATCAACTATTTTCAAACATGTCCATTAGTCTCTTGGCTTGAAACTTCTGAAACGTGTCCATTGGTCTCTTGGCTTGAAACACAAAGTTTAATCCTAGTGAATTAACCCTTGTTTCCCGAAACAAGGTTATCTGAAAGGTTTGAAGTTCCTAAATGAAGTGTTATCAAGGAATACTGACAAGGTCAGTGATCAAAAGTCAGTATCAGTGTCAGTATTCGTGTAGTATTTTGCTATGTACATAGCAAAAAATAAATAAAAGAAATACTAATTTTTTGACACCAAGGTCAGGTCAATTGGGTCAACAGAAACAAAACGGCGGGCAGTAACATTTTGCTCAGAGAAGTTGTGTTAAAAAAGTTTTATATATGCAGATACGGTTATTATAAAAAGTCATGTTAGCATATTTGACCACTCTAAGAGAATTTCATGTAGATTACTGAAATAAAAAAAAATAGAAATACCCGACGGAATTTCGTCATCATTTACCATAATGCCAAATTCACAGTTTTCAGTGATCGACCTACTTTTGAACAAAAAACGCCTTCATACAGAACTTCGAAATGTCTAATCAGTACAAGCTGAGAATGGGGGTTGTAATACACAAGAGTCAAAGATAATAAAAAATGTCTGTGAGCATAATGAGGCTAAAATTTCGAAATGTGGATTATCTAAGAAGTATATGTATGTGTATAACTTTGTATTGTTCTTATTACATGTTCTATTATACATGAAATCAATCTGAGTTCATTAAGGGATACGTTTGGAGCCGTAAAAGTCACTCTGAATGATGACTTTATTATTGTTGAGCTTGTCTTGGCCTTTCATTTTCTCATTATTTCTTTATTTATTTTTATTATAAATGTATAGAATTAATAGATCTATTTCCATGTAAAGATATATGTTTGTTTGTAGTTAAGTACAAAGGTACACAATAAGCTATCTGTGCTTAACACACCACGGGTATCGAAACTCGGTTTCCAGTGTTAAAAGTCCTCAGGCTTACCGCTGTGCCACTGGGGGCGCCAAAGATACGAACAATTCATTATTATTATTATTATCAGAAAAAATGAAAACAAATAATTGCTTAAAATAAAATATCAAAACAAAATTATTAAGTATATGAAAATATAGACCAATACAACCGAAACAAGAAAGTGATCATTCAAATAACCTTTATAACCTCCGATGCATTATAGAACATCTAACAAAAATAAAACAAATATATTTACGTGTAAACATTAGTTATATTTCTTAGATAATTTGATATGACAAGAAGTACTATTTAACTATGTTTTTCTTATGTTATTGAATAGTTACAAGACTCGAAATCTGTGAATCTGGCGTTACACCAAATGATGAGGGAATTCCAGTCGTTTTTTTTTTTTTTTTTTTTTTTTTTTTTTTTCATTTGCAGTGGCACAGCGGTATCTCTACGGACTTAGAACGCTAGAAACCGGGTTTCGATGCCCGTGGCGGGCAGAGCACAGATAGCCCATTGTGTAGCTTTGTGCTTAGTTTCAAACAAACATCATTTGCAGATTTGTTTTTCTTTCCAGAAATAATACTGCTAAACGTTCAAATAGAGTTATAATCTACATTAAATTATCTTAGAGCAGTCAAACAGGTTAAAGTAACTTTCAGTAATCATCTTATTTGCAAATGTAAATTTCTTTGTTCACAACATGTAAACGCTCGACATGTTGTTTCTGTCAATAACCCCATTCATAAGAAACGTGATAAAAATAGATTTTTTTCAATATATTTCAATAAGAAACTACTTGAAGATTAACCTTAATCACGACTCTTGGTCACTATTATTGCAAATCCTGCTTTTTCTTTTTTTTTTCTTTTTTGACATAAGACGATTTGATAACATGTCTATTTAGTCACGATGTGACAAGTTTTGGGGAGAATTTTGTTTACTCTGACATGATAAGTTCAGATAACAATCATTTTTATTTAAAGTTTATTTTCAGGCAGGCACAACATAGAATGTGTAGAGATACAATCTTGCAAGTGATGTAATTTCTCTCAGCTTAGAGTTAACGGAAAGCGGAATGTTATATATATATATTAACAATTTTGTATACTTTTTATAATTTCTAGAAGAAAGAAAAGAAGATTGGTATCTGAAAGTTCCCAATATCGAAACATTTGGAAAGATCAACAAATCTTTGCCATTTATTACAAAGCTCTTACGTAACAATAACAACCGTTAAAATCATAAATAATATTCAACGTTAAACTAGTACACAATT